ACTTAAATTAATTGGAAATTATTAAATGTTGGTTGATTTAAAATTACTTCCTTAATTAAGATTTGTAAAGGAAAAGAGCTTCGTCTATATAAGAAAGGCAATTCGAGGATCGGAAGGGAATAAAATTCACCACCGCATCGGTAACAATGGTGAATGAAAACTCAATCAGAGTTCAGAAATTCCATATCAAATAATAATGTTTTAATAAAAGCGAGCAAATCAAAAATCACTTGATTCAATTCTCATTGCCCGAACTTTAATCAAACCGGGTTTACAGTTGGCCGCACTTAATAATCATAAAAGAAAAACCAAAAAGGAACATTAGGAATAAAAACTGTTTGGGAAAGCCGCAATTGATTCGTCTCGGCATCTGATAATACAAATTCATATTTTATAACGAAAATAATAGATTTTTCAACCCTCACATTGCCAGGTTAATTATTCTTTGCTACAAATACGGCTATTATCGGTTTTTGGATTCTAACCGCGTTCCGCTGTATTGTCGACGATAGGAGTTAATGACTTTCATAGTTCACGCTGACTTCAAATTAAAAAAGATACCGCTGTATTTAATTAAATTTTAAGTAAAAAATAAAACATTTTATCCTGTTATTAAAGACCCAATGTAATCAGGGGCGTTGTGATTATGAAGGGGTGTTTTTTTATTAAAATACCGATAAAGTATTTAGGGAATGTTTTTTGTTTTTTTATTATAACTAGATTAAGTCTAAATTATAGTAATATTTTAATATTCTATTTAAAATGTACCTACTTGTTTAAATAATATGATAATTATAATTTAAAAACACAGTTATACAAAAATTAAAAAAATTTATTTGAAAAATCCAATTAAATAAATCTTGCAAAAGGGCCGTTTCAAAAATAAAATTTAATAATAATAACAAAAGTAGGTTTTCATGGCTAATTTACACGCTTTATATAACAGCTGTTTTTACATTTGTAATTTTTAATCTAATAGATACACAGCATTGTCAAGTTTAAATGATTATTAACTTAAAAACTACCAAAACAATTTATATTGATTTTTTTAACCTTTAAAATACTTCCCCATATAGCGTGGTAGGACGTTATAACTATAGTACGCCTTGCATACAATATACAAATCGTTGGTCTCCGCACGTAGTCATGAGTAGTCGCGTATCTGACAAAAGTTGAAATATTAATAAGGTTTTATTCATACGTTTGGCTTTACAAAGTGGCGCGCCATGGCTTAAATGTATTTTAAGTACTAAGCTACCTTATAGATAGTAGTTAAAAAAATTGTTTCAAACTGTTCAAGATACTCATTTAATTAAGCACTGGCTCGTGCCTAAATTAAATTCGCGACTGAAATGGCGTTTATTAAATTTTAAACATAATATACTATTATTTATACAAATATTTATCTACTACCTATGCATAAGTATAACCTAATTGTTTATGTCTGTGTATATATTATATTTTAAAATTACTTAAATTTTACACTAATAGTATATTATGTATCAAGTTTTATAAACGCCATTTTAGTTACGAGTTTAATGAAGCACGAGCGAAGCTTGCGAGCGAGTGTTTAATAAAAACGAGTGTCTAGAGAAGTTTATAAACGAGTTGCATACTATACTTTATCTACGACGAACACAAACCAGAATTTAAAGCCAATTTTATTTGTTAAAATTTTGACATCTGTCAACTGTCACCCGAATTTAACCTCACTTTTTCCCAATTTATAATAAAGCTAACTTCAGCCCGTGGCGTAAAATGTCGAAAAGCCACTGTTGTTAACTTCAGCCCGTCAATAAAACGCCATAATGTAGGAGTAGATAAAAATAAGTTTAAAATATAAGCTATTCATTTAGGTGACTTATGCATAGGTTTTAGATAACAATTTGTATAAATAATAGTATTTTATGTATCAAGTTTGATATACGCCATTTTAGTCAAGAATTTAATTTTTAGGCACGATCTTGCGAGCGAGTGCCTAATTAAATGAATTAAATAGTAGGCCTATGCCGCGGATAAAGAAAATCATTAATTGTTTGACTCTCAGAAAAACATATTGTTTGATTAAAAAAATAAAGAACTTTACATAAATGTACAAGGTGAGAATATTAAGCCTTTTAAAATCACCTTTACAGCTCTGAGCATATGGTAAATTTAAAACTGACATTATCATCAATTTTAAATTAATTTTTTTTTCTGGTTTTGTCCCCAAAATACAAGGTAGTACTTCATCACAGAGTGAAAGTTAAGAAAATATATAACTCTACATATTGAGTGGTCAAAGTATTTTGACATAACTTGAGTTGCATAAAAAAAGTATTCATTTATTGATGTATAGGCTCAATCCAGCTCAAGGTTTCATATATAGTTATTCCATGAAATTTTGTATTAATAGATATTGTTAGTAAATGGTTATACAGATTGCTTAGATGTGAAAACGAGACAGTTGGTTTTATCTTTATTTATAATTAATTTGTTTCTTTTGAACCAATTTTCTATATTTACAACAAAATTAGGTCCCAATGAAATTGGTTTTTTAATTGTTTTTGCTATTAATTATAGATTATAGATTGGTATCATCAGCATACTTGAACTTGACTACATGGGCCCGAATTAACTATATTGTTAAGGTCATTAATAAATATTTTAAATAATATTGAACCTAAAATGCTTATTTGAGGAATTCCAACCTTAATGGTTTGGCTGTTCTACAAAACTGGATATCCGAAGAGAGTTACTTTTTGACTACGATTTGAGAGGTAGCACCCTTAAGTATGTAACTTTTGTAATAGCAGATTATGATCTAGGCAGGCATATTATACTTTTGAAAAATCAAGAAAAATTCACAAGCTAACAGTTTGTGTTTTAATGTCTTTAAGAATTTTATCTACAAAACTGCAGTACCTTATGAACTTCCTCTCAAATATCCGTCCTGGTTTTGGCTAAAAATGTTAAAATTGTGAAAAAAATCTAGTAGTTCTTTACTCATAACTGTTTCAGAATTTTTAAAAAGGCTGATAAAACACTGATTGGTCTATAGTTTTCCATTAAGGTTGGGTTCACCTTTTTAATTATTTGACTTATACAATCGTAAAATATACCTTGGGTTAAGGAGTTATTAATATTATACTCTCTAAAAATGAAATAGTCAAAATTCTACTATTTGAATTAGTACCAGCATTTTTTACTAATGAAATAGTCGTTTTCACTTTTAAATAGTTATTTTTTACTACGTAAATAGTTAAAGTTTGACCAATTTAAGATTAGTCACCATATTTGACTATTTCTGACAGTTAAAAGTAACTAATTTCTTTAATCGTTTACGGCCAACAACAAAGTATTATTTGAATTAAATGCATATACCTCTCCATGGTTAAATGACCCATAAAACAAATAAAGATGCAAAAAGTTTAGCTCAAAACAGTAACACAAATAATATATTAAACTTTAAAATATTATGAACAATATTTATTGACAAATAAAATTTATTTTTATAAGAGCGGCTGACAGCCGACTGGTTATGAGGTTAGGTTGACAAGCTTCTCAAGTGACAGACGTGAGTTCAATCCCAGGCTGGGTCAAAACTTTTTTTAAATTTAAATTTACTAATTTAACTATTTTATTCAGTGGAATTTGACTAATTATTAGTGACTGCTTTTTCGCTATGACAATTAGTCAAATATGACTTATAATTAGTTATTTTTGACTAATTCATTTTAAGAGAGTACGTTATATTAACGTCGTTAATGGTACACTTACTTAGGGTTGGGGTCACTTTTTGCTTGTACTTGAAATTTCACTTGAAATTTTCACGACATTTATGAAATTTATTAAAATTTCCTAAATGTCTGAAATTTCATGAAATTTATGAAATTTATTGAAACTTTCAATAAATTTCAATCACTTTAAGTGTAATATATTAATATTGAAATAAGCCCACTCGGTGACCATGGCAAATTGCCTCTCTTACCTCCCACCCCTCTGTGGGCCCCTGCACCAATAATATAAATAGTAAATACCTATGTTTACCACAAATTTCTTGAGATTTCCTCTAAAAATATTTTTAAAATTACCTACTAAAACTAAGAGAGATATAGCACTTTTTGGCAACCTAATGAGATTGTGCCCCTTTCATTGTTTTATATTTATTATTTTTATATATTTTACTGAAATTTTACAAAAATTGAAGAAACTTCATCAAAATTTTATGAGCAAAAGGCATTTTTTATCCGTTTTCTGATGAAATTATAGCAAAAGTAAAGGTTTAATTATGACTTTTAAAAAAATTTTAAAGTCTGATTTAATTTACAAATTAAATTGGAAACTGAATTAAATTAATTTATGCATATAATTATACTTAAGTAACAATAATTACTTATAGTGTATTCAAATCCAAGCCGAACTAAATAAAAACGCCCAGACGCTTGATAACTCGTTCTTTTTGGTTGATTTGGAATCTGTTGTAAATTATTATTAAAGGTCCCAGGAGAGGCCGCATGTGAAATGTATGCGAAATTTTCAGTAAATTGCGAAACTTTCAATGAAATTACTGAAAGTTTCACAGGAAATGTTGAAATTTTCGAATTGAAAATTTTATTTGAAATTTTTAAAAATTGCACTTTTCCAACTAAATGAAATATTTCAAGTTTGATTTGATTTTCATTTGAAAATTTCAACTGTCCCAACCCTACACTTTACTTCCTCCCTGCAGTACTTCATCTACACCTAAGCGCATTTTATTTTTAAGGGAGATTTTAATATTTAAAATTTTACCATTACTTACTGGCTATGGAACTTTTGTGACTTTTCTTATCCGATACATATTGCTCGCTTTCCATCTTTTTAACAAGTCTCGCTACGTGATTTATTAATTTTTTTTACAATTTCTTCTTTATTCCCACTTATTTGTATTTTATTTTGTATGTTACCTAATTTTAGGTCATTCACCCCATTTCCCATAGTTTTTCATTTATTATCGGAAGATATATAATCATGTCAAGATGGCGCCAACGGCTGCGGGCGATGGCGATGTCGATCCGGCAATTAAAACGTGTAAACATTGTAAGAAAATCGTAGTTAATTGTGTTAAGTGCCAAGAACTGTTTCATCCGGCATGTATTAGGCAATCTGCAGCAGCAAGAAACGCTGAATGCCAGCATATTATAGAGGAGGCTGAAAGTGAGGTTGGATTACGCCACCTAGAAAAACAGCTATATGAAAAAGAAATCGGTTATTTAAATAGAATCGTACAAGAACTAGAAGAAAAAAACAAAATTTTGAGTAAAAACTGTGATTTATTAAAAGAGAAAGTGCTAAATTTGGAAAAAAACTGCAAAAAGAAGAAAAAAAGATGCGGGAAATAGGCCAAATAAAAAATCTCTCGTCTTCTTCTGCAGCATCGAATGGTCATTTTACTGAAGTAAACAAACAAGATAGCATTGTTACCAACCAGGTAAAAACCATAACTACTGAGATAGTAAACAAAGTAGAAAGCAATGTTGCCAACACTGGGAAAACTAATCCTACGGATGGTTCATTACAACTACCGCTGTCAAACAATAGTAGTTTAGCTTAGGAATGAACAGAGGTAGTAAAGAAGAACAAAAAAACAAATAAAATAGCAACCAGACCAGAGCCATTGAAGGGCTGCAATGAGGAAAGCGCACTAAAAGCGGCAAGTAAAATGTCGTTTCTCTTCCTTTCGGGACTTGCTCCAGAAGTTCAGCCACAAGAAATTGTTGACTTCCTTAAAACAAAAAATTTAGAAGACCAATGCATGCCATGTGCACTCGCCTTAAACAAACAAAATCCACATTTTTGTCTAGTCGACTTTGGTTTTAGTTTACACTCGGGAAATGACGGTTGCTTGGTAACGAAATCAACAAACTTCAGGTTGATAAATTTTGTAAAGTTTTGTAAATTCATATTGTGTTTAGTTGGTTTGTTCTGTACGCTTAAAAAATTTTAAAATTACGATTTATCGTTATCTGTGTACTCTATTTTTAAATATTGCTACATTATTTGAACATTAACATGGTGTTGTGCTGTGCTGTGGGCTGCTCTAACAGTCAAGTACTTTTCACAATGATGACAAGGTTGTATTGTATTATTTAATTATAACTATTTTATTAAAACAAGGTACTTACACAAATGTGGTACATAATATTATTACTTTATACTGATTTGTGTTCTTTAATAAGATAAAATTCACTTGAATACATTATTATATTGTTAATTGGTTTAGTTTAGTAAATACCTTGAATAATTTAAAATATAATACATTTATTTTTGCTTTTCAAATAAACAATTTAAATAAACTATCAGGCCTTTTATTTTTCACTATTTTGTCTGTCAAAATTTGACAGGATAACCTAAATTAAAACCATAACCTAAAACCAATAAATGTCAGGCGGGTACACTAGCGGCATAGCGGGCCGAGTGTGCGTAACAAGGAGCGTCAAATATGTGACAGTGGCGTATCTATATGATTTATTATCTATGGACCAATGTTCCTGTCAAAAAATGAAGACTAAGTGTGGATTCACAATGGACATAACCATAAAAGATACATAATGAAATCATAAATCATAACCATAAAATTTACATAAAACCCAAAGAGCGTTCACAATGACTATAAAAATTGACATGTTGAGCATGTCAAACTAATGTCATTTTAATTTAATTTAAATTAAAATTTGTGAATTGTGTTTTTAAAATGAGTGAGACTGAAGAATTGTTATTATTGTTACTACTAAGACGACGATGCCAAGAACGCCAAGATAGGGTAAAACCAAAACGAACAAGACGCTGGTGGGTTCGTCCTATAAATAGAGATAGAGAAAAAAAGGATTTCGAAGACTTATTATTGAAATGCGACTTCATGACAATGAATGGTGTTTTACTTATACTAGAATGACAGCTTCATTATTTGAGTTATTTGAGGAATTGCTAAAACTAGTGTCCCCTAAATTGATTAAACATAGCATACGAAACCACTGAGTCCAAGTCAACGGTTGGCCATTACATTGAGGTTGTTTACCCACTTTTAAATAAATAAATAACGTATTTATTAATCCTTATGTAAATACATACAATGTAAAGTTACAACATAAGATTAAATGGCCAATGACCGAGGTCCTTCAGCCAAATGTGCTTAATTTTAAATTGATATTAAACAATAATAATGGCAATGGTAATGCTTTTTAATTTTGGTATAGAATGGTAAGAAAAGAAAAAAAAGAAGTTAGTCTAAATGGATTTGAATAGTTCAAGTAATGTCTTTTTGGGATGTTTGAATTTCTGTTATTTTGGGTGTCTTGTGCCTACTTTTATTATAATAAAAAACTAAAATAATAATTTGGCTTTATCTTAGGTATTTGTCTACCGGTGACTCAACCTTTTCCATAGCAAATGGTTATAGGAACCGCAAGAGTTGCCAATATAAAAACATAACAAACCAAAAGTCACCGAATTTTCCCAAAAAATTACATAAAGTTAAATTATTTGAACTTTATGTGATTTTTACGGTACTCTATAATTTTTACATAAGAGTCACATAAACGTAAAGATTACGTACTACGCACATTGTGAACGCTTCTTATGTATCTTTATGTATTTTTTGTATGTATTTCTTATGTTTTTTTATGGTTACGTCCATTGTGAACAAGCACTAAGAAAGAAAATTACCGTAGCTCTTAAATTAATAGTGCCCTTTAATAAAAGAGAAGAGTACCTGAATGTGGAACTTTGGCCTAAAGGGGTTATAATAAACCATTTTCTAAATTTACAGAACCGAAAAAAGCTCAACCTGCGGCCACCTAAGTATTCTGCATTTAAACACTAGATCTCTACGCAATAAGGTAGGGCAACTGGAAGCTTTCTTAGCTGACAAAAATATCAATATAATTTGTATCACTGAACACTGGATGGAAGAAGAAGAAATACAATATCTGCATATTGAGGGATACAAAACTGCAGCCTACTTCTGCAGAAAGATCTCTATAGGAGGGGGGGCACTAATTTTAACTAAGGAATATATGTAGTAGTGTTAACTCTATTTCTGTTTTAAATGTTGAAAAAACTTTAGAAATATGTGGTATTTATATGTAAAATTTTAATATGTATGTTTTAGCTTTGTACAGGTCCCCATCGGGAAATCTTGACACATTTTTAGGGTCAATAGATAATATCTTTAAAAAAATATCAAATACTAAAAATCAAATCATTTTATGTGGTGATTTTAATGCACATTTTGGCACACAACAAAATGATGCTATAAAAACAACGGATCTACTGGAAAGTTTTGGTCTCCATCAAACTATTTTCGAAAATACGAGACAAAATGCTTGTTTGGATAATGTCTTTGTGAGTCATAGTGAGAACATCAGCCTTGCACAAACAATCAACCCATGTATGTCTGACCATCTTGGACAACTAGTTCAAATTAAATATGAGATAGGTGACAAAAATAAAATCACTAAAAGTGTATTAAGACCTATTACACAGGAAGGACTGTTTAATTTCTATGAAATGGTGTCAAATTTTGATTTTAACAAAATTATATACTGGGTTGGTAACGTTGATGAAAAGTTTACTGATTTTATTAGTTTATTGGAGTCTGTCTTCTTGAAAGCCTTCAGGGAAAGGACATTTGTTTCAAAAAATATCCAAAATAAAATTGAATGGTTCAATAGAAGGTTGTGGATAATGAGGAAGCAATTGGACTTTTTAAGGGAACTAAGTGATAGAAATCCAGACTTTTCACAGGACTATAGAAGATACAAGTTACAATACAAAAAAGCGATACAAGAGGTTAAAGTAAAGGCAAATGAAAAAATTATTAAATCCTCTAGCAACCTAGCCAATTCCATGTGGAAAATCATTAACAAATATCGAGGTAAAACTGAAAAGAACGAAAATATTAATTTATCTCCAAATGATTTTAACGATTACTTCAGCAATGTCGCAAAAAATATTGTGAGTCAGATGCCAGTTCCAAATATAGATCCTGTGAGGGGTCTGGATTTCTTATCACCCCCAAATGAAATGTTCTCTTTCCGAGAATTATCATATTGTGAGGTAAGAGACATTATTAACAGCTTTAAAAATAAAAATAGCCGTGATATACATGGTCTAAACATCAAATTAATTAAAACCATTAAAGATTTAATTGTAATCCCTCTTACAAAGCTAATCAACCTATGTCTAAAGAAAGGTACTTTTCCGAGGGTTCTCAAGAGGGCTGTGGTGGTTCCAATACATAAGAAGGGTGACATTGATAAGCCTGAAAACTACAGACCTATCTCCCTGCTGCCAGTAATTTCAAAAATCATAGAGAAAAGCATGGCCAAACAAATATCAACTTTTTTTGAGGAAAATAACCTACTCACTGATTGTCAATTTGGATTTAGAAGGGGAAGAAACACAGTTCTGGGTATATTAGATTTAATATTAAACATTCAAAAATGTTTCCAAAACATGGAGTATAATTCTGTCCTATTCTGCGACCTAAGCAAGGCATTTGACTGTATGGACCACAACATATTAATTAAAAAGCTCTATTGTTACAGATTTAGTGAAAATAGCATAAATCGGCTTAAATCTTATTTACAGAACAGAAGCCAAGTGGTGAGAGTCAGTGGTGTGTCTTCAGCAGAGAGAGATATCACGGTAGGCGTTCCTCAGGGATCTATTCTAGGACCGCTGCTATTCTTAATATTTATTAATGACTTGCCGAGAAGCGACCCGAGTATAAATTTTACTCTCAGTGCAAATACACAAACTGATGCAGACGTCAGATTGTCAATAGCTCAGGAAAAGGCAGAAAACTGGTTTAGGGCAAACAAACTCTTATTAAACAAAGAGAAAACCTGCAAAATGATGTTTACCATGCGAAAGGTGGAGCAGGAAGTAGAAAAAAACAAGTTTCTAGGAGTCTATCTAGACCCCACGTTGCTGTGGGATCAACACATAGACTTTATTGCTTCAAAACTTGGTAGGAGTTTGTTTGTTCTAAGAAATCTCATGAACTGTTTTTCCGCTGAAGTTTTAAAAGTGGCGTACTTCTCACTTTTCCAAGCCCACCTTTCATACGCCATTTTGGCATGGGGCCATGCACCTCAAAGTGAGTTGCATTGCAGAAAGGTTGTTTAATATACAGAGAAGGGCTATTAGACTGCTGGCAGGCTTAGGCTTTCAGGATGATTGTAAGCAGGCATTTTTGGACAAGAATCTTTTAACAGTCCCGTCATTGTACATCTACGAATGTGTAATCCACATCAAGACGTTCACCAATATGACACAAGGAAACGAAATAACGTAGCACCAATATTAGGGTGATTCAAAAAAGCCTTTTTTTAAAAAT